TACTGACTGAGAAGGATAAAAAGCGACGACATAGCGAGATGGTGAGTAGAGGGAAAGGAGTGACGAGAGCAAGTGCGTCATTATATGCTCTCGATCTTCGGTACTCAATTATGTAAGCACTTCGATATACAGTTTAAAAGTAAAACTAAATTATATTATAATTCTAACAGGGTGATTGTTAACAATATTAATATATATAATTGCATATTATCTTACTAAAAGTATTATAATCAACTTACAAGCACAATACAATATTTTTATAACTATTATAATCTATCAACTATTATTGTAGATATCTTATAATATAATTTTAACAGATTATAATAAGAGTTGAGTACTTGTACCTCACATGTAATGTTGTAATAATACTATTAGTAAGCTTACTTGCTCTAAAACATGTTTGTAGTTTAATAGAAACTTTGTATATTTCTTACATTTATATACAAGCATTATAATTACATTACAAGTAAAATATAAGTATTATTTTAGAATGTAATGCTTATGAAATAATTTTATTAGTTTACTTTTGCTATTATTAAATACATTTGTTGCGACTTTTTCGTGATGACATTACACGAATAGTAGCACGAAATGCACTAGGCCTTTCTGTCACCTTCCTTTTTCTCTGCTGTCCTGTTCAAGCAGTTCTGTAGATCATCAAAGGTGCTACAGACTTCAATATCGTTTGGGCCCATCGTACTCCTTATAATAGCATTAATATGCTTTCTTTCTTCTCTCTTACATCTATTATCTCCTTCGGAGCCGTCTTGCCCATCCTGACTCCTAGACTTGTCACTACTGTTGTCAGGAGTAGTCTTGTTAGGTGAGTCTCCATTATTTTTAGAGAACCAGCTTGACATGCTTAAATGTAAAGAGGTACAGGAGAAATTATTCTCTCACTCATTATTTATTTCATTTCACAAGGGAGCAAAGTGAGATATGGCTCTCTTATAGTTATTAGGTTCGATGTACTGTCCAGAAATAGCTTTATATAGAATATACAATATTGTCTAAAAAGTCTTTCCCTTATAGTACTTTCAAAGTTGACAGAGCAAAGCATTTTAGACTGGAACTAAGAGATACTAATCTAGCAAAATAGACTTAAAGTGCTAGGTTGGTACTTAAAGAACTTGAAAGCCGAGCAAAAGGGGGGTATAACAAGGCTCTTGTAAGTACAAAGTTATACTATAATAAAGTGTATATACAGTAAAAAAGCAAATTGCCTGTATAAGCTTGTTATTATATGCAGTATAAAGAGCAAAATAGAAATAGAAATATCCTATTTTGTACAATAACATTAATAATAAAATTAATTTAAGTTTCTGTCAGATTATAGTTGCCTTGTAAAAATATATAAGAATAATTTCATATTGACAGGAAGCACAGATAACTCTGGCAAGCTGTATTCAAAAGAGATTGGACTTTGTACAAAAATACAACCAGATAAGTTAATCCAATGTAGAACAGAGCAGGTGCTGACAGACAAGTTGAGACATGATCACAGTTTATACACATGGATAGTATGATGCGCTATTTTTAATAACATATTTCAGTGCCTTTCTTTTAGGAAGTCCTATACTTACTATTTGTTGCAACCTGTTACCAAAGCCATGTGAATTTCAATTTTCTGGCCCACGCACATTGCTCTGGTTGGGGTGAAAAAGTATTATTTATTATGGAGAAGTACAAGCAGATGCAATGAGCATGGTATTGCACACTCTGATGGATTTCGGGTGTTCTGTCGGATGTGAAGCAACAGCTGGTAATGGATGTACAATACTACGGGTCAAGGGAGATGATCGACGAATAGTTGTCACAGAGTTCGGATGAGATATATCTATTGCACACACTGTGGTCTACATTGATCCACCAGCATTTGAGTTTATTTATGCTTACATTAGTATTTATCGTAGAGAAATACTAAGCTTTAGCAGTGATTTGACTACAGGTCAGCCCCCAAATTTACAACGCTTCGTGAATCGAATCCGCAACTGGGACGCATGCTTGAGGGTCTCGAGCATCTCTTTGCAACCGACATCGACGAAAGGGAAATTGAAATGTTAGTTTGTTTCGTGAGCACCGACAGGACCGCATTCAATGGTTCCAACTAGGTTAAGTGCATTGCAGCGCACCTCAAGCATATTGCATAACGAGTTGACAGCAACCTCCCCCTCACTCCAAATATAACGATGATTTTCGAGGTAAAGCTCTGCAAGACTAGGACACAGCATGGAGCTGACCTTCCGAGGCTGAAAATAATTGATAGGTGTTTCGTTTACGGACAGCACGTCGAAGAAACTCGGTGTAATACCGATACCTATCATACGAAGAGATTTCAAGTTGGGGAGGAGTCGAATAAAGGGGGTGAGTCTGTCGTCAACCTCCGAGAGTTCAACGAGATCCAGGTATTCCACAGAAGGTAGCGGCGTTCGAAATATGTCTGGAAGCTTTTTGACACGACAGCCACTGTTGGCCCAGTGGCAAATTAAGTGACTCAGTATCGGTAAAATCAGTTTACTGATCATAAACGCAGAATTTATAGAGTTGTCGACCTCAAGAGTTCGAAGTTTACATAGTGACGTCAGAGGATACTGCAAATTTCCATCCCTTTCTGACGAGTCACAGAAGAACTTGAGGGATTCCAAATTCGGTGCTTGTTGGATAACTTCCAGGAGAGGTACTCTCCTGCGTCGGTATATAGGATTATCGAGGCAAGTCACCTCTGTCACGCTAGATAAATTCCCGTCCCTGGATTCAATATGAGGACGACCACCAATGTGTAGAGACCTGAGCTTCGCAGAACGCGAAGTATCAATATATACTTGTCTCGCATGAGAAAGAGCCCCTGACATCCAATAAATGGAGAATGTCTCCAAAATGGGTACGTCAAGGAGCTCGATTTTCGGTGGCCTGCTTGTTCCCCAACGGCTGAAAGTGAAATAAGCTTGTCTCCATCGATGCTGGTGATCGAGTAATTTCTTCAGAATGCGCTCCACGGCGTCGCGATTCGGCTCAACGTCCTCTGTTATGTTATCGCAGCCGCAACTAATCGATACACTGAGAGGAGCTGCTTTGGACCTCTCAATATAATTGTCCACAGCCTTTATGGACCATCCAGCTCGTTTCTTGTCGTCCTTGCCGCCAAAGAGGACGTCATACGGATGGACATGCCTTAGCCACGTAGCGCCAATACCGGCAAACTTGCGAAAGACGTATCGGCACTTGCATAGGTTCAACACGCAACAAGGATTTGTCAAAAGATTCCAACGGTAAGCTCCCCAACGGAAGGGAATCCCTCTATGACATCTGTCCTGCATGAGTGAGAATCTCGCAGAGGACGTCGAAAGGTAGAGCATAATTATTTGTAAATCGTTGACTCGGGAGTTCATGCTTTTTAGGAGTGACTGCTTGATTGTGGATTGGCTGAGATTCAGGGAGACGAGACATTTGAAGAAGGATAGATGGTTCGGGCACGTAGGGTTGTAGACAGTCGCTACCGGTCAGCAAGTTGTACAGACTTGGGCTTCACATACTCACATCGGGCATTTCACAATTTCTTGCTGTGAAAAATAACTTACATAATGTTAAACATTATTTGTAATTAAATTTACCATTTTTGATTGATAGAAATCATGAACAAAATTTCAAGTTTCTTCCATAATCAATACAAATACAGAAAAAACTTAAAATATTATTTTGAATTTCTACTAAACTGAAATGGTAAATTAAATTACAAATAATGTTTAACATTATGTAAGTTATTTTTTAAGGCAAGAAATTGTGAAATGCCCAATGTGACTGCTATTTTTTATTGCTACCACATGACACAGCTTTCTTGCCACACAAGCGGAGCTCTATTGTTGAAGTGGCCAAAGCTGTGAGTAAGAACTCTGCTCTGCAATG